TTTTTTCCTTTTGATTTTTTACCTGGATTACTGAGATGCATCAGGACAATCCTATTTTATGTACTTTTATTGGGGAATTTTTGATGTCCTTATTAAAAGAGGAAACCTCTAATAGTATTTGAATATTGAGGTTTCCCAATTGGAAACAAACAAAAGTTTGCTAGCTAACAGGGAAAATCTAAAAATTTTGCTCAAAATCAATTTTCTTGTTGCTGATTGGGCATCCCTCTAGAAGGCAATCTATGACCTAGATTGGTCAAAGGTTTTCTATTGCGAGAGACCAACGGGGGCGCAACTCCTACACTGATTATACAGCATATGGTATTCCCAAATGGTCTCCCATCCAAGTATTAACCAAGCCCAACCCTGCTTAGCTTCTGAGATCAGATGRGATCTGGYGTGTTCAGGGTGGTATGGCTGACTTGTTGCTGCTATTCATTAAAAAAATGTGTTTCAAATTTTTCTCAAGCATTGTATTCCACCCAGTTTATTTATAAGGCATTTATTTGTTTCATTTTGACAAAATGCAATTATTGCAACCATTGTACTCAAAACACTATATCTGCCTATGTTGTAAAACGAAATCCTCGGTTCAATGCAACGGGTCACATTTGTGTTTTTTTTTTTTACAACAAAAGCTGTCTTAAGATTGTGTTTTTATTTTTACATATTTAAACGCTCTACACTGTTTCTTCAAATTAACTGTCATTGTTAATTTGGTTTGTTTTAATACACWTTACTTTTTTGTTTAAATTGAAACTTGTGTAACATCAGTGTATCATTTTTATCATGTAAATGGAGAAAGAAAAAGCAATAATGGTTTCAAAAATCGGACCAAAAATAAATAAAATAAATAAATAAATTTGGCAGATTCGGAGATTGTTAGATTGATATCAAAATAAGCTGGTATTAGTTTAAAAAAAATCTGTATTGGTTTGGTTGATCTGTGGTTTGGGGCAACGTGCAGATGTACACACCTGTTCGTTACCTCACCTGYGTGGAGTCTGTTGGCTGTTCGAGTGATTCAGAGGACGGAGCTTTGGTGACCACAGACACCTGGAAAAAAGAAGGAATAATGTCTAAGTTGAATCAATAGATTCTGAAAAACTCACATTTTTGATTGGTTTTATTTTTTACTTTTGCAGCAGACTTGAAGGGGTTGACCTTCTGCACAACTCCCATCAACCCCGATGTCTGCTGTTCCAAAAAATAAAAATAAAATACATCCAGATATCCACCAATCACTACAACAACAACAACAACAGCACATTAGGGTGCAACAACCCAAAATCTCTCACCTTTGTCTTTGAGTTTGGCTCATCTGCTCTCTCATGGTTTTCCTAAAAGGATTATTTACGTTAATAATTTGTGAAACTGGCACCATGCCGGCCTCTGCCTCTTCTTCTTTCCCTTTTTAATTACTCTATAGAACAACA